CTCTCTCTCTCTCTCTCTCTCTCTCTCTCTCTCTCTCTCTCTCTCTCTCTCTCTCTCTCTGTCTCTCTGTCTCTCTGTCTCTCTCTCTCTCTCTCTCTCACACACACACACACACACACACAAACACACACACACACACACACACGCAGCCTGGTGCACTATGATTTGAAGCTCGACAATGTTCTGGAGCACTGGGGGCCAGGTGAGCGGCTGGATACACCGGCCTCAGCAGCGCTGCGTGCAGGCAGGGCTGGTCGGGTGGTCCACTGGTGGGCGTCGCTCGGTCAGACAGATGCTGGACTGCACGGCTGGACTGTCGCGGTGGCCGGGCCAGGGCACCTCCTGCAAGTCGCCTCTCACTGCGAGAGTTGATGTATTGGGTGACCTGCACGCACGCCCCCTCCTTCGCGGCGAACCGCGCCCCGCAGACGACGACGCCGCCGTGCCCGACACGGTGCCCATGCAGGCCGCCCTCGCTGCGGCCCGCGGCGGCGCCAAGCGGCTCCCGGGGCCTGCCGGCGGCGTGAGCGGCAGCTGGGAGCTGGGGCAGCTCCCGCGGTTCAAAGTCTTCGATCTCGGCACATCCGTGGTGTGGCCTGGTGCGTCTGCGGTTGCTGCGCGCCTTGAGTGATATGAGATGCATTCCTGTTGGTTCCTGTGGCACAGGCACGGGCGTGGCTGCCTGTTACAGGCTTGCTGGTTGCGCCTGTCCCGCAAATGTTTGCCTGCATCCCGCAAGGGAATGTCCGGGGGCTTGACGGGTAGAGCGAGAGACGTGGGCGATCCTGGAGCGGTTTGAAGCGACAGACAGATCATTATTATTGAGGCGCCCTGATCTCACGGCATCCCCTCCTTCAATGCGCGCTTCACCCCGGCCCCTGCTGCGCGCGCCTGGAAGACCCTTTCAGCGTTGCAGCCTGGAACATCGGCGCCCGCGCGGCGCGCCCGAGCCTGAAGGGCGCCTCGCCCGGCTGCTGCGGCGGCGGCGGCGCCGCCGTCACGGCCGCCGGCGCCAACGGCGCGCCGGCGGCAGCGGAGCAGCTGGAGCGTGACGCGCAGCAGAGCACGAGGACGTGGCCGGGGGCGATCGAGCCGGCCGGCGAGAAGGATGGGCGGGGGCGGCGGCGATTCAAGTACAGCAAGCCCTATTTTATGGTGAGGGCTTGGGGGTTGATCCCAGCAGCAGATGGGTTTAGGGTTTTGACCCCAAACTTAGCTCTTCAAAAGTTTGGGACAGAGATGGTTGAGTTGCTCAAGCCTGGGATGGCTGGGACTTTCACATTCAGGTTTGGGATTGCTTTCAGGGTGTTGAACTGGATTTTCTGTGTTGTGCGCGCTCATCAGTTTCGGGGTGGTGGATCGTATGTGATGAGTGGTTGCTGGATGCGGACATGCCCTGTGTGCCCGCAGCACTGCCTCCGACTGTCGCTCAACCGCCCGCAACCGCCGGCGCGCTGTTGCGTTTTTGCCAGGTGCGCCTGTACCACATGTACTGGCTGCGTAGGGGCGACGCGTACCGCCTGCTGTCAAGCCTGGCGCGCCACCTGGACGGCCGCACATGGCCCATGGAGGACATGGAGGAGGTGAGGGGCCAGCAGCGGGGTGGAGCGATTGCGTGCGATTGCGTGAAGGGCGAAGAGGCGAGCTTCAGGCGCAACCCAGCAGCAGGAGCAGGAGCAGGAGCAGGAGCAGGAGCAGGTGGAGCAGCAGCAGCAGCAGCAGCAGCAGCAGCAGCAGCAGGCGCCGGAGCAGCAGCAGCAGCAGCGGCGGCAGCAGCGGCAAGAGTAGCAGCAGCAAGAGCAGCAGCAGCAAGAGCAGGAGCAGGAGCAGGAGCAGGAACAGCTGCACCAGCACCAGCACCAGCACCAGCACCACCACACCACCACCAGCAGGCGGAAGAGCATCAGCAGCAGAACCCCCAACAGCAGGAGGAGCAGCAGCCTGAGTGCATGCGCCTGTACCCCGTACCGACCGTCCCTCAAGCACGCCCGCTCGTCGAACGCATCCCCCTCCCCCCTCCCGCAGGTGACCCTGCTACTGGCTTTCCTCGAGCACGCCACCGGGCGCCGCCGCCGCCTCAGGGCAAAGTTCGTGCCGCGTAGCCAGCTGGAGCCGCCCCTGAAGCCTGAAGACACCCACCCGGCGTCGGCGCCTACAGCACGCCTGGCGGCGCGCGCCAACGGGCGGCAGGCCTCCCTCAAGACGGCCCTGCCGGCGGCAGAGCGCCCCGACCAGGCGCCGCCGCGGCCCGACCAGCTCGCAGCTGCGACCGCGCACGACCCCTTTGCGGCCCCAGACCTGCAGCGTCAGCCGTTCTTCGGGCTCGCCGGCGCCGCGCCTGGCGCCGCGCCCACCCCGCAGCCGTCGCTCGCGGAGCCGGGGGCGCCGCCGCCGCGGCCGCCGGCCGCCGTTGGGCTGCGCCCGGCCGCGCCGCCGGAGCGGCAGCACGTGCTTGGGAGCAGCGCGCCTGTGAGGGGGGCGTTTGCCGGGCAGCTGCTGGCCGAGCCGCTGCTGCAGTCGCTGCTGGGCCGACTGGGCCCCGACGCGCGCGCCCCGTCGGCCGCGGTCGGCGGCCGCCTGCCATCTGTCGTTTGATAGGGCTGCCCGATGGTGTCTGATCTCGTTCGGGGCTTTGATCATGGATGTAAACACGATTTGAAGGGCCTGTAAGGACCTAAATCCGAGGAAGTGGCCTCTGCTGCATTGAGAGGATCATGTAGGGCGCCCGTTATGCCCGCTACCAGGCTGTCTGCAGCAGCCTGCCGTTGACTTTTCACGCCTTGGATTTGCTCATCGCGCCTTGAGCTTTAGAATTAGCAACCGTGCCACCCAACATCAGATGCTTGCTATCCTTTGGCTTGACACCGTACCGACGCCCGCTTCTTGCTCGGTTTCCGCTTTGATGCCTTGCGGCGGGCGCACGACGGACAGCGCGGGAGATGCGAGTGTGCGGCCGCTGTGGCACCGGCGCCCGTGCGCTCTCCAGTGCACGGGTCACCTCTTCCTCATCCGGCCTCCCGCCCGCCCAAACACAATTCATGGAAGGGACCGCGTGTGTGTGGGGCCGAACTTTGAGCACCCATTTCAGGGCTGTCTGGGACGTTGGGGCCCCAATTGTGGGCAAATCCTGGGATCGAGGTTGACAACATGATGGCAGGGTGAGCTGGTCAACTGCACAGATGATGGAATGGTTGATGATCGTTGCCTGACCCCCGCTGACGGCGTCGATGTTCAATTGTGATTGATAAGAACGCTTCCACTCCAAGCACCTTTACTCTGGGGATGGGTGGAGGGTCTAACCCTCTTGACTAGTTGCCACGGGTGGTCTCCACCGACCATCACATCGCAAAAGCCCGCGGCATCGCTGTAACTCCCGTGCGCCCGCCACCATGCGTGCCATGTACGATAGAAGGGAGCTGACGCTGTGCGAAGCGAGTTGGAATTGCGGGACGAGCGGCAAACGCAGCAGCAAAGCAAAGCAGTGAGCAGCAGCATCCTCAGCAGCAGCAGCAGCAGCAGCAGCAGCAGCAGCAGCAGCAGCAGCAGCAGCAGCAGCAGCAGCAGCAGTGGCAGCAGCAGCAGTGGCAGCAACAGCAGCGAGGATGGCTTTTGTCCCGGTCTTGTTGTTTCTGGCATAAATGGCGCCTCGGGCGGCCCTGTGACAAACAGCGGCTGTCTTCAGTTCAGGTGTTGCAGCGTGTTCGGCCCAGCGGCGCTCGTGCAGGGTGTATTGTCGATGCAGCTGCTGCACTTATTTCTGGACAGGCTGGGGTGCGTGATGTTGGCTGCGTAAAACGGCACAAGTTACCATGCAGTTATTCAGCATCCCAGGTTGCATTTATCAGTGGAATGACTGCGGCAGTGGCTCGGTGGTGCCTTCCTCTTCTGAAGGCCCCGGCTTCAGCTACGCCAACACCTCGTCCTCCCACCTTGCTTGTACGGCGCCCCGCCCACCGCTTGGTTGGGCTCGGCTGGGGAGCCAGCTCGAGCCAAATCATGCGCCAGCTCAAGCCACGCGTCGTTGCCATGCGCGCACAGGCGCTGCCTGCCGGTCGCATGTGTTGGGAGTTCGAAACCAGGAGCGTTAATAATGTGGAAGTGAGCTCACTAATTTGCAAAGCTCCACGAGACGGGTGTGTCACTGGCCTTCATCTTGAAATCCCCCCAGCTTTCACCACAAGAAGACCAGGGTTGACTCATTGACCAGCGATCCACCGCCTGCCATGCTGCAAATGCAGCTGTGTGAGCAGTCGACCTATATAACATATGCAATTACCTCGCTAAGGAGTCATGGCGCTTGCGCAAGCAGTTGTGCGGGCGTTCTGAGCAGTTGTCGGTGCCTCGAAGACCAGGCAGGTGGGCTAGGCGCAGCGAGTTGTGCGCAGCGTGTCGCCACAGTCCTTGACGTATCGTGCATGCAGTATTGGGATGCCACATCGTCTTGCAAGCCTTGTCAACTCCCCACACCTTCGGGAGCTAGCACGCTGTCACGCCCCACAGATCATTTGGGCTTGCCTGACGCGCCAGTCAAAAGATTGGAAGTAGCTGTGGCTCAGTCAATAAGCCATACTAGACGCATACTAGACGCACGCTGGGCGGTGCACGCTGCCCGGTCACTCGACCCCGCTATCGGCACTTCAGCCGCAGGCTATCTTTGCAGAGCCAGTCACCATCCCAGGCGTGGACGTACATACGACAAGTCCTACAGAAGTGCAGCAACTACAGTAGGCAGCCCTCGCGCGTGTCGCGTTGATTACGCTGGGCCCGAGGGGGAGTGCGCGCCGCGGCGCCGTCCGCCGCCGCGATGAGCGGGCTGCCAGAGATCCCCAAGAAGTTAAAAATCCAGGATGGAGACATCTGCTGGTTCTGCAAGCAGCCCGCGGACGAGAGCTCCTGGCGAGGCCTGGGCAAGCTGTGCAGCACGCGCACGCCGCTCGCAGAGTGAGCACGCCCTCGCTCTGCCGTGTGTTAGATTGATTGCGAGCCGCCACAGCGTCCGGGCACAAGAGGCTGATGATAAGTCGTCTGCTCACCTTCAGCCCGCGACCCCTTCTCTGCCTGCCAGGACGCCAGCCCCGGCGCACCCAGCCCGCCCCCTAGCGCGCGCCCAGGCCACCCCCCGCC